TTGTTCTTTTCTCATTTTACCTCTTTACAAGCTATGAGCTATGGAGCAGGAATTTTCATTCTTCTAGCACGCAAGGAACTTTGCTGCTGCCTAAAGAAAAGGCCTTTTCTGCTGTCCTGAAAACATAATTTCAGACTACATGGACAAAACCTGAGATGCCTCTGCTGTTGCCTGTTCCTCAAAGCTGTGCATTAAGTGGAACATGTATCTGATCCGTTTAACCTGTAATTAATCATTTTTCTTAAGCAACTGACATCTGATAACTAATAATTATCATATGTAGCTACTTTTAAGACCTATTATGCATGTTTATGTAAGAACACTATTACCATAATAATAAGATATCATTACCACAAATGTGCATACTGAATGAGCATGTCTAAAACTAATCATGCAGTTCCATTAATCATACTTGAAAAAATTAAGTATTTACTGTTTAATTTCTACAATACTATTTAAAAGATTTGGGAATCAGCAGGACCTCTTTACTGCATCTAACCAGCACAGAATATGGCATTTCTGGTGTTTGATTTTTTTTTTTGTTTGTTTCCTGAGATGTTGCTCATCTTTCACCTATGGAAATCATTAGCTCAGAGACCTACTGTCAGGTTTTGGAAGGTTTTCCATACTCCATGCTATTTGCTTTTTTCTCTTTTTTCCTCTTTTCGTGATGTTACTTTCTCTTAATGTTGGTGTGGAATAGATTCCTTAAAGATCAATACTTGAAATTAAACAATTGCCTTGAACAGATGGTCTTATTTTATGCAGTTCTCTTAGTCTCTTGTACAGGGGAAAAAAATGTGGTGTTTTTCTAGTGCCTTTTTTTTTGTAACAAAAAATTGGAAAGTTGGGCCCTGGACTCTTGACTTTTGTGTACACACTTAGCAAATAGGTAGCAGTTTGTGTTTGTTTTGTTTCCTCATTTGAAATGTCAAGCTCTGCACACTGTCCATTTTTTCCAGGAGGAGACTTCATTACCAAAGTGAGAGTTGGGAGTAAAACATGTTGTGTACTAAGAAAATGAAATCTGAGTAACTGAGAAGAAATTTATTGATATTTAACTTTGTGAATTTCAGCAAAGTCAAGGTCCTGCCTTGCTTGTCCTGAACTCAGCAGTTTAAGATGGTGTTTGGTTCTCTGTTTCCCACTTCTTTCATTTGTTTTTCTCCCTTCTGGGTGTCTGCCATGAGTTAAGCCTGTGTAGTTGCCCTAGGGCATAGGACCATATGTGTGTGAGAGCTGGGGCAGGCTGTCCTGGGGTTAGGAGGATAGATGAATTGTTGGCCTTTTGCAGGCATTTACTTATCCAAGTACCGCATCCAGTTGTGCTGCTTTTGTTAGAACGACTTGGTTTGCTTATGGTTGGCTTCTTACTCTAGTCCTTTGCAAAGGTTAAAATCAATCCTCTCTCTGTAGAAGACTTTTAGGAGAAAAAGGGCTGAATATAACTCTTGAAGCCACAGTTGTTTTATGAAATCAGTCATTAACATTATTTACAGTTTAATTTGACCATTCAGAGGGAATTAAGCCAAGGTTTTCCCACAGACTAAGAATGCCCATTGCAGGTTTGCAGTTGTCCTAGCAGACAGGTGCCTGTTACGGTGCTGCTGCCAGGCACTGGTGTTCTCGCTCCTTTCCTTTGGACTTAGCGTTAAAACTGCCTTTGTGTAAAGTGATCAAAACTTGCTACTTTGGAGAGAGACTGTACTTTAAAGTCTTGGTAGTACTACATTTATGTAGTAACAATGCTTATTGAGTCAAAGGCTCATATTACTGTTTTCTTTCACCTAAGGAAGTGTTAAGTGTTAAAGTGTTTTTTTTTAAAAAAAAAAAAAAAAAAAAAAAAAGATGCCATGTGTTTGCATAACACTTGATCTAGTTACTTAGTTATGTGCTTTATTTTTATACCTAAGGTGTTATCCGCATTGCAAGAAGACGGTAAAAAAGGATGAAATTTTCAAAGGAATGGTTTATAGGCCTAAGAATATCTGTCAGGAAAAAAAAATCATGCAAACTTAGAACAGCAGAAATGGGGCAAAAGCCAAAATTTATATACACACACACAGAGGATGGAGAAAAGTGATAGACATGATAGAGATGTGAGGACAAATAGGAATTCAAAATGGATTTTCTGTCTATAATGGCAAGTAGTAAAACAGGTAGATGAGACTGAGGTGGCTGGAGCTGAAGATGTGTCACCAAAGGAAATCATTGTGCCTGCAAGAGCTCGTGGTTGTCGGTGAAATTAGCGCCCCCCAAACAATGTTCTTTGTCACTGTGTGTGTGTGCATAGCTGATGGAACTCAATGCTGTATTCTCACCAACAGGCAGAAGGACTGTAGTGTTTTTTATTGTTCACAGCTATCATGGTGGGGAGGGTTTGTACACACGCAAACATACATGCATGAAGTTGGAAGGAAATGGGGAGGAAAATGCTTTTAAAAAAAAAAAAAATGAAAAAAGCTTTCTGCAAGGGGTATAAATTCCTGTGACTCAGGGCATGAACCAACTTCCTGGGGGTGTTGAGGAAACAAGTTTCCCTGCAAGTAATTCTGCTACCATGTACCTGCAAGGCTTTATGGACCTTCTCATGAATCATTTGGCTGTGTGCTTCTTTTCAAGAAAAGTTCAAGTTTGGGGTGACAAATCGGTCAAAGTCTTTCTCTGGAAAAGAATCAGAATACAGTACTGTTATAATAAGCAGCTTATTAAGATTTGGCATCCCATATTTGCGTTGGAGATTGCTTAGATCAGATAATAACTTTTTAACTCTAGAGTTAAAAACCATGAAAATACAAATTGTTTTCTGTTGCTTGAGTTACTTCATATAAACACTCATTTCTCAGTTTCCTCAGCTGAACTGAGGAAGTTAAATAAGATTTAATTCCAAGTTCAATTTTTAAAGGTTGTGCTGTCTCTGTAAGATGTGTTAGAAGCTGCGTTAAATTTCCCTTCCCCCCTGCCCCTTTTAAATACAATTCCTTTAGGAGCAGGAGAAAAATGTAGAGTCTTATGTTATACTGAGTAATTATCCCCCCTGGGAAATAGAATATAAAGATCTTTAAAATCATTCGACTGAGAGAACAAGCACTTTAACTTTTGCCTCGCAGGAGTCATGTATTACATTATCAGCCGCTTGCCGCGGTGTCAGTGTGTCATGCCTTGCAGGTTAGCAGGCTCTGGCAGAGGAAATGAAACCCAGTCAGTTACTGCAGGATTTATAGTAGACCTGCTGGTGCAGGAAGTGGTGAAAAGTTGATTGATAGTCTGAGGCACGACTCTGCAACAAGAAACAGGATGCATGTTTGCTGGTTTATACCTGTTTCTCTACCCATCTCCTTCGTTGCAAGGCACTCCCTTGTTTTTTGTTCTCTCTACTTGTAAATCTGTGATGCAGGTTTCTGATAAAACATGTGCTGACTTCAAAATGCTTGAGGAAATGGATATGCACATACCAAAGACTGGAAGCTGACATAGCATGCCTGCTTTATTGGAGGGCTTTACCTAAATGGTCCTGGTGCTTGTTTGTAAACTATACATATAAATAGAAGGCAAAGCACACCTTCAGTTAGTCTGTTGAACTTGTGCCAGCATACATGCACTGAGGAGCAAGGAAAGCTGGAGGACATATCAGAGAATCAGGTAGCATAGTTGCAGGGTATTTTATTTCCCTAAACTTTATCATTAAGGAAAGATGAGTTTTGGGAGGTCTGGAATATGTCAGCGTGAATTGTTATGTCAGTATTGTCGTATTTATGTATTAGTAAATGCATCTGACTTAAATTTAAGTAGCTACATACCTATTTCTATCCTGAAACATCTTTTTGACATATAACCTAAAAAAGGAAGGTTGTGGATTTCCTCTTCAGTAACTCTTAAAAACTGAGGCTTGTTGGACTCGATGGAGAAGGGAGAGGGGCGTTCAGGTTCTCCTAAAGTGCTGAGCTTTCAAAAAGTGTTCAGAGTTAGAAGGAAAAACAGGAACTGGATGGAAGAGGGCAGAACAAAGCTATTAAATGGAGGGTTTGATAATGTTTGCTGGGCAAATTAGAAGTTTTGCAGAACATATGAAAAGTAGAAGACAGCGAAAGGAATTGCACACTGAAAAGATCTAACATAAAATTTTTGAATAGGGAAAGTTCTCTAACTTCATATAGGAATTTTTATGTTTTGTTTGAACGTGAAGGATTTTGCTTCCTCTAAGAATTTAGTTCAACATAATGCAATTACTCATTTTTGCAAAAAAAAAAAAAAAAAAAAAAAAAGAGTATGGCTTTGCTGTATACCAGCAAGTATGGAACCATGTTCCTGAAGTGTTGAGTGTTCACATTAGGAACATGCTCTTCTGCAAAACCAAGGTCTTCATCAACTGTCACTTGTATTTTTTAGAATAAGAAGGTTGTTTAAAAAAAAAAAAAGAGAGAGAGAGAGATAGTTAAACACATAATCAATCCAAAATCTGAAAATAGTTTGAAGATATCAAATAACTCTGGAAGAATTAATGACAGAAACTAAACCTTTAAATATTGAAAATAACCCTCTGAGGTGAACCTTCCCAAATATGCTCTATAGGTCACTTTTGCTAAATGTATATATTTGTACGGATAGTAAAGCAAAGTCATCTTGCTCCATACAGACTTAATTCAACTAACCAAATACTAATGAGCTTGTCATTAAAGAAGTCAGCAGTCTTGAAGAATTGTTCGGAAATCAGTGTTTTCCTTGTTGTGTGTTGTTGAAACATCGAAGCAGTAACTTTTCTGCTTCAGACATGAAAACATCAAGGACAGGATTTTATGCTGTATTGTTTAGCCTCTGGGGAAGTTATATTCTTATTCTTTTTTTTTTTTCCTGTAGCATCTACTCTTAAACATAATTGAAGAAAGTTGCTTGCAGACCAAGCAAATAAACAATTGAAATGCTTAAGTTTTGTGATCGTGTTATCAAATGAGAATGTTCAGTTTGTAAAATTAAATAACATATTTTGTTCTTTGTTAAAGGTCAAAAAAGTTGGCTGCACTTGCTGATTCCTTGCAGAAAGCAACACTCACTAAATCCCACACAGGACTTGAACTGGAAGAGCTGGAAGCAGCAGCACTGCTAGTACAAGAGGAAGAGAGCAAGTTAAAAGCTGCTGGCTCAGTTTCTAAGCAACAGCTGCCTTCCTCTGAGTCAGAGACAAGTGACTCTGAAGAATCAAGCAGTACTTCATCATCTGAGACAGAAGCCTCTGATTCAGATGAGCAGGAGCCTTCAACCAGTGAAGATGGAAAAATAAATTCTTCACAAGACACACTTCAAGAGGAGAGGACAGATCCACTTATTGACTGTAATGGATTAAGGCAAGACACAAACACTTCGATGTTTGAGGTTAGTGATGAAAAAGCAAAGGTTTCTTTGCAGTCTACATCTGTTCCTGGCAAACTGATAAAAGAATTAGAAAAGCAAATGCACACTGCAATTAGACTTTCAGAGCAGCCTGAAGGATTGGCTACTACAAGCTGCGCTGTTTCACAGCAACAAGAAAATAGTGCGTCTGAACCTGACAGTCTTTCAAAAGATGCTGTTGGGAAAGGAAATTTCTTGGAGGTGTCTTCAAAGAAAAACCCTTTCCTATTTCTTTGCAGCACAAACGAAGATGAAGACTAAAATGTTTTTGGAACACACTGTGACCTGTTAGGCAACACAGCTCATTGCTGTAATTAGGTGTTCTCAAGACTATCATGAGCTGCAGAAAAGCTGATATTTTCTTTGTGTTGACAGTTTGGAGGACAAGATGGCTTTGAAGGAAACTGATATGACTGTATAATGCCTTTATAACTTGTCTTTTATTTTTCTTTGCTCTTGAAGAGTTGGAATTGATCTCTGCGTTTTCAAAACTGACTGCAGTAAACTTCTAGAAAGTTTTCATTGTTTATTAGGTGATAGTATGATGTCGTAGTCAAATAGAACTGAAATCATCATCCATCTTTAAAAGGTGGAGTTTATTTGAAAAACACCTTTATGTTTGTATAGACCTGTTTGACATTTTGATGCGTTTTTGATTCTTTTAAAAAGGCTTTTTAACTAGCCACTTAATGATAATAACATGAAAAATCTAAATAATGCTGTTGCTTTTAAAAATATTTTCTGTCTTACAAGATAAATGGAATATTTCATCTTTGATGGAAGATAGAAGGGTGGGTTGTAACTCATTTCCATGTTTCTTACATAAGATATTTCAAAACTTGACACATTTTCTTTTGTGTTTTTGAAGTGCTTCCACATATATCTACCAGTGATTTTTTTTAAAAATGGATATCCTAATTATTTCTTCCTTCAAATGCTCTTGCTTAAGTGATATTAAGCAAAGTGGTGAAACAGTGTGGTACAAAGGCTTGGGGACAGGACTGAGAGCAAAACTCTTGCGCGCTCTGCGCCTGGCTTTGTTGTGCTGCATGGCTTGGGCAAACTCATTTGCTCCTTTTTTTTGAATCGGTGGCTGCTGCATGCGAGTGACACAGGGCCCTTCTGGCTCTAAAGAGGGGTTTAAAAGGAGCGGAGGCCTGGAATGCCAGGCTTGGTCCAACAGCCTCTGGTAAAATGAGGCTGTCAGATTCATACCTCTGGAGGAGCGAGTGATGATTACTTTCAACATTTTTATTATAATAAAGCATATAAAGATCCTAGGCTTAAAGTCTTCCTTTTCAGCAGTGTTACGTGCTGCTGGAAGCTGGCAGGCTGGCTCTCTTCAGTAAGACCTGAAATCCTGATCTGCCAGTATTTTTTATGCTGTTAAATACCTCCAGTCACTTAATCAGTCTCTGTGCTGTGTCCCCTGAGGGTGGAACCCTTCTCATCTTGCCTGTCAGTGAGCACTTACTCTTCTGAATGCTAGCAATAAAATCTACAATGTAGGTGCAATTATGTGGCATATTGAGGGAAAATTAAAAAATAAAACTGTCTTTTCTGTTTCAGGTGTGAATGCTAAAACTTTCCTCAACTGTGTGAGGGCTGAAGAAGGCCAAGTTAATTGAATTATGTGTATCTATTAATTCTTGAAATATTTCCTAATATCCCCATACCTCCTTTTGGTTTGCCTTTTTTTTTTTTTCTCTCTCTTTCTTGGAATATTGGCTGGTGAGAATTTCCCATGTGGGCGCATTATCTGACTCATGGTAGAGGTTATTACACATCCTGAGTGCTCTAAGTGAGTAACATCTTCATGAATGAGAGGCCTTGCCTTTCTAAAGAGAACCTAAGGGAGTACTTGGGAAAGAAAAATGGAGCACCTGAACCTTATTTAGCTACAAGTGAGAGTTGCCAAATCTACTAATTGTAAAACCCCTGAATCCTGTACCAACAGCTAAGCTGCTGTGGGTTCTTCTAGAGGATGTGAGTTAACTCCAGTGAAGAGTCAAAATTACCTGGAAGAGGTAGGTAGATGAACTTATAGGCATTTGCTCCTAGCATGTTTTTCAGGCTGGGAAACAGTTAATAAATGTGGGGAGCTCAGTGCATGTTGTGTAGTCTGGTCTGTTGGTTTTAAAGCTTCATCCTTAAACCCCTTTCCTCCCTCCTTATTTATAGCATAGGCACTACTTTGTTTTAAGGTACCTGTAATTATGTCTTTGTAATCAGCCCTGAGGGAACAGAACTGCAGTGTCTTGCCAAAAGTCCTGCAGAAAGTTACTTGCATCTGAATAGGAGCTCAGGCCGAGAGGGAGAGCTATGGAGTTTTGCTGGAGGAGGGGAAAGTGGCTTGTCTGGGGTGTGCAGAGTGCTCTGAGGAAGGGATCAAATGAAGTTAAACATGCAGTTTGCTTGTTTTCTTAATTTGCTAAATTTCTACGAAATATCTAGGCTGCCCCAATATCAAGGCATCTTTGCCCCAGCTGTCTGTTGTGGTGGTGATGCAGAGCTCCCATAAAGCTCATTAAGATGGATGTAGGAAGGCTGGGTGGCTCCTTACACTTCTAGTGTGCAGTAAGAATAAGGCTGTATTACCATTACAAGTGGTAAGTGATGCTGGAAACCATCATAAGTTAGTAAACCTGTTTATTTCAATGGTGACAGCACAGCCCACTGTATGTTGCTGCCTTTTCATCTCTTTTCTCTAGAAAAGAAATATACAGTGCTAAGCAGATTAAATAACTGTCTATTATTTTCATTCCAGACAGCTTTCTGAAAAGTTTATAAAGACTTAGTTCTACATCTAAAGGAGAAAGCATCGATTAAGACTTGATTTACTACAGAAAACTATAAATATTGCGAAGAATTGCTTCACATCACTGGAGTGAATGGGCCAGGCAACCCTCCATCGTAGACAGAGCCGAATATTGTGGAAGCTCGAGCTGATTGTCTCAAGGCTGGAGAAAACAAACAGGGAAACACATGCCAAACAGATAAATAACTCTGCTGTTTAGAGCTCTCCATGGAGGCCATTTGTCTCCGAGATAAGGAAGAAGGCACTCCAAAGCTGTGAAAAGATAAGCTAGGAGAACAGAATGAATGTGGAATTGTTAAGGTCTTATTTGGGCATGTCACAGATGGAGGAAGGATAGCACCAGCCTAGGGACTGTCTAACCTGTGTGGTGTACCACCCAGGGAAGCAGCAAAGGTGAACTTGCCTATTTTTGTTTTGTTAAGTTCTATAGTAGTGTTTGATAATTATTGATAGCATACAAACAAATGGCATTCATATCATTTGATTTAGACAGTAATTCCAAAATATTTTATATATCTCAGATCTGTTTTTCTCCTTTTTAGTGGTGAGTAGGCTGCAGCCTGTGGTTTTGTGGGCATGCGTGAAGCATGATTTTGCACTAACAAAATAGATTTGGCTCTGAGTGTTGTGGTACCCATAAATCATACTATTTTTATGTTCTTAGGCTTTGAAGAAATGACAGTATTATCAGCGTGAATACTGCATTTAGCCACCTGGCTTAGATCATATCTGAAATGAACTTGGTAACATTGGTTTGCATTTTATTATTTTATTTTTATTTTATTTATTATTAACCTTTTCTTATATTGGAAACCCACAATATGATCCACCATTGTTGATGATATTTTGGAGGACACAAGAATAAAAGCGGTGTGTTGCAGGTGAGGGCTGAGATGTTGGCAGTGCTCCATGAAGGAGTCCAGCTCTTTCTCACAGAAATGACAGGCTGTTGGGTTATCCTCCCTTATACTGCGAGGATTAGTGGCTAGCCCCAGTGTGGGGAAAATACTTTTTCCTGGGTTCATCTTGTCATTTGAAAAAGCTCTTGGGAGAGCTCTGTAGCTCCCTGTGCATTCATAGGGCATAACTCAAAGTCCAACTTTCAGAAAGGGTTTACAGAAACACTTGAACATTCCTGTTGTGCTGTTGGCGGGGGGAAGTCTTGTAGAATATTCCAGGCTTAGCAGGTGATGGCTGGGCACACCCTTGCTCTGAGGTTGTGTATTATTATTATTATTATTATTATTATTATTATTATTATTAAAAAGTAAAACCAATTCCATGTATATGAGAATTCCTACTAGTGCAAACGCATTCCTAGCATTACCTCTTGGCAAGCAGATCATCTCCTTTGAAGAGCCTAGAAATTTAATAGCCTCTCTAATTCCCATGGCTAATTTGGCTTGTGCTCTTTCCTGTGCAAGATCCACCTTTCAGGCGCAGAACCCAGATTCCTTGTGCTGGATTGCTCCTTTCAGGCCCCTCTGAATACCATTCTCCTTGTAAACAGGCGAGGCAACATGGCACTTGTCAGCAGTGGGCTGGTTATTCATGTAGATATATTTTTATTTCTGCTGCTCAGATATGGTGAGACCACATCAGTCTGCAGGAGTCCCTCCTGCCTTTCAGAGCTACAAGGGCTGGAGATGAGAAACTGCTGGGTAGGGAGCACAGAGTTTATAGTTAAGAACTGCATTTCTTTTAATCAAAAACTCAGCAATTGTCTTTGTTGCTGGAGACAGCAGGTGTGTGTGCTTGGCCCCTGTCATGCAAGTTTTACCTTTTGGTGTAAAACTGGGAGGGCTGTTTCTTGCAGCAAGGATTTTGCAACCTCAGATTGTGTCTTCCAGTCTGTAGTCAGTAGTAAGGTGTGTGACAGTAAACATCAAAGTGCCTAATTAAGGATGTGTGAGATTTGGGAGAATAACTCGTAAATGCTAATGAGACATCAGCTGCATGTCAAGATGAGAACAAACTTTTCTCAGCGGTACTCCAAATGCTCCAGGCAGTGACCTGGGGCAGCATCCTACCTGCCAGTGCCGAGCTTCATTTTCCATCTTGTGTCTGCAGTTTTTGGCAGTTACACAGAAATGTAAATAAGATGGGATGTGTGTTTTGCCCAATGTAACCCCTCCTACTGTAATAATCCTGCATTGTCCGTTGATTTGCCTAATTATGTGTATTACAACTGCCTAAATGTGGCTGGTAGCAGCAGGGGTCTGTGCTGTGAGAAGGAGGAGGTGATTGTTCCATCTGTTCCTCTGAGCAGAAGGGAGAAGCATTGGGGAATAAAGTGGGAAAAGGAGGCAAGGAATTACCATTTAGTGCAGGTGCCTTTGGAAGGGGAATCCCACTGCCAGGTGCTGACAGACAGCTCTCCTGGGCTCCTCTGTGGGTTTAATTACTGTATATTGAGACTTCCCATTTAAAATCAGAACAGGCAATTGCAACTGAAGTTCTGACACGGAACGGGGGCTGTGATAGCA